TCGATATTAATGAATAACAATAAATAACATTTAAATAAATAGAATAAATTAATCACCCAAGGAAGGATAAAATAAGTAGATATTCTTTTTGCCAATAATAAATGATAGACAATCCCTTGAATATTTGAGTTATTCTCGGATCTAGTGGAAAGGTATAGACAAGAATCTTAGTGAAAAAGTGATGTTTATATCTTAGCAATGAGATCTGATTCTCTTTCTCAAGTCCAAGTGTGTTTTTTACAAAATGAATATCACATGTCCCATATCATTGTGTCTTTTTCTATTTATAGGGAACATGCTCCTAAAAAATCCTAATAGTACAAGTGCAAAGAATATCCATTAGAATATTCTCTTTAATATCATATTTTGAAACTAGCCGTTATAACTCCGTCAAAAGTACTCGACCTCGGCCTCGACCCTTGTCGACTCCTCAACTTCGGCCCTCGTTGATTCTTCGACCACAGATTTCGCCGCTTCTTGGGTTATATCGACAAACGACGACTTGGGAACTCTTCCCCTAGTACTATCTTGGCTTAAATATTCTAAAGATAGATTTTGACACATAAAGTTAGTCCCCCCGCTTATTGCGGCCGACTTCAGGCGGGTTCTTGTTCTTTGTAGTCGAAACAATCGAGCGAGCTATGCAGGTCATAGTGGTTGCGGCAAATTGGCAGCGTGGCCCTACGTGGGCCACACATTTCAAACACTTCGATTTTCCCAGGCGATTTTCTGGAATTATGATGTCTACGAGTTAGGATGACGTCATGCGTCATAATGACGCATATTCCCGATGCGTTGCTTCGTTTCACGTGTGACCTCTGATTAAACCTGCCGCTTCGGTTCCGGTGTCAGTAATGATAAGTCATTTTCGGTTCTGATGCCGAGACCTTTATAAATAGAGGTATTTGGACGCGATTTTGAGGGTTAGGTTTTTCAAAATCCCATATTTTTCTCTTGCTCTCTTCTTGCTTTGTACTTCTCTTCTTCGTTCCAGTGATTTGTATTGTTCTTAAATCTTCATCGTTTGATACCTCTCTTTCCTATATCAAACTATGTCTAACATATCTTCTGAGTATGGTGAGGGAAGTCGTGCGGCCCCCTTGACAGTGGTGTTTCCCTCCCATGAGGAGAGTATTCCTGCCATGGTTGAGGATGGAACCTTCCCGTCGGTGGAAGAGATAATTCCACGCAACCCTAATTCCAAATTCGATTTCACCAAATCACCTGATGATGAACCTGGAGCCTTTCGGCCAGTGATAATGGTGAAGGAATTGGAAGAGCTTAAGGTTAAGTTCGACCTTCCCAATCACATTGAATTAATCCCCGCTGGGTGGAATACGGTACAGGTACACCATCTTAGGTATTGCGCCTTCTCCGCCTACCTCTTCCAAGTCGGCTACTCTCTCCCTCTCCTTTCGATGGCGGAGGAATTCTGTCATTATTACGGTATTTTCCCAGCTCAACCCGCGTCGTATGTTTATAAACTTATAACGATACTTACCAAATTTGTCGAGCTAGCCGGGGTCGAGTTGAGACCTCGGCACTTAATACATCTGTTCGCCCCTAGATTTTATAGGGGAACGATGTTGAATCTTCGCCACCGAGGAGGCAAGTGCTTTCGTGGTGAAGATGGACGACAAAGCCAGCCGCCAATTCTAGTTCAATTTCTTTTTTGTCAAAATCGAAGACATGGTGGCCAATGTCGACGGTTTTTCTGAGGCTTAGAATTATGCATGTAAGTACCTAATTTCCCTGCTTGTAGGTATCTGATTTTTCTCATATGCTTGATCGTGGGTTTTGACCTCTTGTCTTCTTCTCATGCAACCAAGACCTCGCCTCCTCCTTTGGTCGCTCACATTTCTGACTGGGTCGATCGACTCCTCCCTCTCATCGTAGGGATTCGTGAATGTCCAAGTTTCTTCAAGAAGTTTGGGCGTGCTCTCCCTTTGATTGGTAAGTTCCTTTTACCATCAGTGTCTTAGCTTTTGTTTTTGTTTACCTTTGCTGACCTTTCCCTTTCCTTGTGTTTTCTTAGCTTCGGCCAGGGGATCTTTGGGGGAGGTTGAGAGCTCCCGCACCCTCGTTCCAGAATAGGAAAGCTACTATGTCCTCGTTTCCCACCCCTGCTTCGACTGCGACTTACCTGGTCTTTGTCCCTGTCCCTCCTGTTGCTGCGTCCGAATTTGTCCCTCCTTTGGCCGCGGTGGCCACCGATGTAGGAGATTGTGGTTTTGTCCTGCGGGAAACGGCCATAGTGCATATCGGGGAGAGCCTAGAGGCCACTTGTTTGGAGGATACAGATATACGACCTTTGGGGGATGCGATTGAAGGCGTGGTAGGCAGTGATGGCCCTGTTCTTCCAAGATGCGAATAGGCCTCGTCCTCTGGGGTTGTGGCGGACATACCTTCTTCAACTGATGATAAAGGGAAGGTTGTTATTGAGAAGGACATCGGATCTGATTCTTACATGGACGTAGACGAGCTAAGGATGATTGACGAGCGGCTTACTCAGGTTGAAGTAAGGTTAGAGGAGGGTTCAAGGACTATTACGATCCCGATGGATCATAATATTCTTGTGGACACCGAGATGATTATCCCTTCCCTTGTTCCCCTTTGTTCTGAAATCGAGGGTACGACCCTCAAGACTATAGATGATAACTCCCTGTCAAACAACATTGTTAGCCCCGCCCTTCGGGTAAGTACATATGCTGTTAGTTGTTTTCCTTTGCTCTCTAACTTTCTTTGTTCGTTTTGTAGACGACCGTCTTAGAAATTGAGAGTGCTCGAAAGGAGCAGAGGCATAAAGATATCTACGTGAAGTTAAATGACAAATACTTCAGAGTCCTTCATAAGTACCGGGAGCTTCGGTGTCGGCTTCGTGAAGGCGGCGATGTGCGCCAACTGAGGGAGGACTTGAAGGCCAGAGACAAGGAGCTGGTGCAGATGGTGGGGAAGTGCAATGTCTTGGAGGGGACATTGAGGAGCAAAAAGGAAGAGCTTGAGCTTAGTAAGTGGGTCAAAGTCCAGTGCAGTGATCTCCAAGCTCAGGTAGTCATGTTGCGCGGCCAGCTCGAGGAATGTCTATTTAGGGGGGAAGCTCTTAGTGGCGAGGTCACTGAGAAACAATGGGAGCTAAAGAATGCGGAGTTTGCGCGGTCGGAGGCTTTGAGAAAGGCGGAGTCCCTTGAGCTGGTGATTCGGACTCCCCATTCCGAGAGAGAATGATTTAATGACGGCCAGGCTCAAAGAAGAATGACTCGATGAAAGGATTGGGGAGTTGGAGAGAGAGACTTATGGCCTCTACGCTCGAGTTGTCGCTCTGGAGGCCGAGAAGGCCCAATTACTGGCACATCTGTCCTCTTCGCGCACTTCAGATTTTACTAATGTTCCTCGGGAGTTATATGAGGAGTGGATTCATGCCAAGGCCCAGTTAGATGTCTTTCGATATTTGCATGCGGCGGGATCCATTTCTGAGACTGCCCTCGAAGATGTTCGTGTTAAGGCTCGTGAAGCTCGAGTCGGCTGTGGGTATGATCCCTCTATGCCTGAGACCGGTGAGGACGAGGGGGACAAGGGTGTAGACCAGCTCGAGGAGAATGCCTGGTATGATTCCGCATATCCTGAGGATGAAGGTGGCGATAGCGAGGGTATTGATGGCCAGGGTGGCAACGCTGTTGAGGGCCAAGTTGGCGAGGATATTGAAGGCCGTAATGGTGGTGACAAATAATTTTCTCTTTTGATTTTTTGTGCCGGTGAGGACGAGGGGGACAAGGGTGTAGACCAGCTCGAGGAGAATGCCTGGTATGATTCCGCATATCCTGAGGATGAAGGTGGCGATAGCGAGGGTATTGATGGCCAGGGTGGCAACGCTGTTGAGGGCCAAGTTGGCGAGGATATTGAAGGCCGTAATGGTGGTGACAAATAATTTTCTCTTTTGATTTTTTGTGTATTTTTTGCCGGCATATTCACGAGCCTATGGTAAAAAGTTTTAAGTATATGAATATCAAAGTTATTCCTTGCATCTTCTTCTCTTCTGTGGTTTATTTTCTGTACTTATGTATATTTTTGTTTCTTTGTTGGAATGTGGCCGAGGGTCGATAGGTGTTTCTTTGTTTCTTGTATATCTTCTCCTCTTAAAAAAGCAACAAACACTATGTAGATATGGTCGGACAGTAGTGGTAACATGCAATAAATATCCCAAGAAATCAAAGGCAACAATGTAGCATTCAATATCAATGAATAACAATAAATGATATTTAAGTAAATAGAATGAATGAGTCACGCAAGAAAGGATGGAATAAGTGGATGTTCTTTCTAACAATGATGAATGATAGACATCCCCTATCATTGTGTTTTCTTCTGTTTATAGGAACATGCTCCTAAAAAATCCATCAACTAGAATATTTTCTTTAATATCCTATCTTGAAACTAGCCGTTATAACTTCGTCAAAAGTACTCGACCTCGACCTCGACCCTTGTTAACTCCTCGACTTCGGCCTTCGTTGACTTTTCGACCACAGACTTCGCCGCTTCTTGGGCCATTTCGACAAACGACGACTTGTGAACTCTTCCACTAGTACTGTCTTGGCTTAAATATTCTAAAGATACATTTTGACCAATACAATAATATGGCTTAAGAAGTTTGTAGTGTAGCTACCAAAGTTTATTGTGGAACAATATGGGACTTAGTAGTAGATAGGATAACTGCATCCACCTTTTCCCTGTTTTTTGCCTGTTGATAATTCATAGGTATGGGAAAAAAAACTTCTCTTCGTTTGTAGGAAACTGGAATATTTGCAAGAAGACAACTACAAATTGGAAAGAGTATGAACATGCGTATTGTTCACTTAAACAATAAGACTTGTAGTACTGTTGACCAATTTCAGTTATTGCTTGCTCAACTTTTAGTATCTCCGATTGCAGTCATTTTCAACCAAGTTATTTTGTTTCCTAGGTTTAAGTAAAAGGCATACCACAGTTTCTTAACAAAGCATAAGACATTAAATGAAGATGTTTACAAATATATTAGACTGGTCATCTATATATTCGAACTTATAACTCATTTGCCGACATTATTGGACTTCTCTTTTCTTCTTTCAAAATTGTGCAAAACTAAGAGCTACTACAAAATAGAGCATTGTGGGGTGGGTTCTTCCCTGCGCGTAACATGAACGACTGGTGCTATTCCCTGACAGACAGCACAAACTGGGGGCATAACTGGAGGGGGAGGAGCATACATCTGGGCCTGGGGTTTGGGTTTCTGCTCTTCGGCCTTTTTCTGTCCATCTGGTTTTGGAGGAGCTGCTGGAGGCCCAATACTGACCACTTCCACAAATTTCCCAGCTTTCCTCGATCTCACAATGACCTCGTATGGGTCAGCATCACCCGTTACACTCAAAGTCCCCTTTGCTCCATCAATTTCAATTTTTTCCACACCTTCAATTTCAAGTTGTAAAGTTTCAAATTCATATATTACATCCAAGTACCCGTAGGATGAAGATATGGTAAAGTTAAATTAATCTGGTAACTTTATTTTGTTACCATGTTTCTTTCTTCTTCTTTTTTCTTTGGGCTGGGCTGGGTGGGTGGGGCCATTTCTTATGAGCTACCAAATAAAATATATGAAAAGAAGCTATTATTATATGAAATAATGTGTACTCCATGTGTTTTTAGAAAGAAAAAAATTTAAAGTGTGAGTATGAGTGTCAAACCTTTTAACTGTTGTGTATTTGAACCTTTGATTCGTTATTTAAAAAAAAAAAATGAAATTAACATAGTTAGAAATTACATAATTACTCAAAATCCTAGTCGTTACCACTTAATTATTGTAGATTTTTTAATCGCAATCTCGATTGCAAAAACGAAAAGAAAGTCAGAACAGTAAAACAGAAATCAAAAAGAAAAGTTGCAGAAACGTACCTGGCAGTCCTGAAACTGCTTTGAGGATCTTCTTCTTGCATTTATCACAAGAAACATCAACCTTCAAAACAGTCTTTTGCACCATTAGCGAGAAGTTTTTGAAATATCTATTCAGAATACCTTAATAGAAAAAATTGAGCATGGCTATAATGTCAATTCAAAGAAAGCAATAAACTCAACCAACTATGGGTTGTTCACCCTCTTCTGCCTAAGTTCTCCATTATATGCTTAAGTTCTTCCAATTGTCTTCTTCCGTCTTAGAAAACAATGCTATTATTTTAATCATTTTTCAACGTTTGATTTTTTCTACTCCGTTTTTTCCCCCCAATTTCCCTTTGCATTGACATGTTGTTTCGTCTCGAATGATCTCATCTATGTAACAATGTGTACTCGGCTCCGATTTCCGTATAGGGAACTCAAGTCTCAACAACTGAGACTATTTTCTTTGTTAACTCCTTTTTTCGGCGGAGTTAAATGACTAATGAGAAAAAAAGCATTAATTAAATTCCCCGAATCCGAACGGTACCAGATAGAGTTGTAATAACTAGTAGTAGCTACTATATAGCAACTTCATACTTCCGGAAACACTTTTCTCTTACATATTCTTCCTCTTTTTTTAATTCGAAATTAAAGTGTATTACTATATTTTAGCAATGGCAAATTGCCAAAGGGGACATAAACAAGTTCAAAAGAAAAATCGAAGCTGGTTTAAATTCGAGGGTTTGCTTTTCTCTCTCAACTTGTATTTCTTGCGAAGTCCTGAATTTAGTCCATATTCGAAAATTATTTCTTTTCTTTTCTGTTTTATCAACAAAAAAAGAAAAGAAAAATCAACTACCTCTTTGTCGTTTTTTTTTAAAGGCACAATCTAGATGGCATGAATTGTCACCTTTGATTATTGACTTTTTCATGCTGTTCTGGTCGTCGATTAAATACCATAACACATACAAAGGAAATTTAATGAAAAAAGAGAATTATAATTGCCGCCAGGCAAACGGCAAGGCACTGTGATACGATTAGCATAGTATAATACCAAATCTTTATAGGCATACTTTAAAATGAAGAAGTCAAACCACAAATGAAGTCGACAAATAAACCAACTCCGGATCTTATGTGATAATGGTATTTTTGTGCAACTTTTTAAATATTGTCATGGACTCAATTGGCACTATTATTTGACCTATTGAAATTATTTCTGTCGTTAACTAATGGAAGGAAGTGGGTTTACATAGTAGTGTTTGAACAAAATAAATTAGTTAAAGTGATAGAAGTTAGATATACAAACACATGTCGTGCATCTATTTATTTGAGGTAAGCATTCGTCGCAAATAAATTTTTATCTTAGTTGGTAAAATAGATCTACACATTATGTTTACACCAAATCATAATAATTTATTATGGTTAAATCATAAATTAAGGTGGTAATATATATATTAATTAATTATAATTTAGCTACAAAAATATATATCATTTATTAATTTGACGTTAAACACCAATCACAAATAATTTTTTATCGTAATTGTCCATGTACCAACAAGTAGTAGTGAGGCAATTGAAGAAGTTTTTTGTATAATGGGTGGCACGGACTATTGAGCCTAAAATTTAGGCTCAAACGCATTTGGCAGTGGGAGAAGCAAACAACATGATTGTTAAACGCATTATAAGCAAAAGCCTGAAAAGAAGGGGGACCCCAAAGGCTTTATAAGAGAGAAGAAGATGAAAGACTATCTTTTCTTTAGCTCTTTGGTGCCACTTTCATTTCTCAGCTTTTTCCTTCCGGTGCTCTTACTTCCTCTTTGTAAGGTCTACAAATTCTACTAATCAGAAACGGAAAAGGATCAAACTGCATCTAACCTATTCGCTTAGGTTTAAAAATGCACTGTCCACCTATTTGTAGTAAAAATTGGTAAACTTTTCAGCCCACTCATACTAAACTAACGGTCCTATTTTGATTAAATTTTTATGTGTCAATTTTCTATTTGCTTAAATTAAAATTTCACCCCATATCCACTTATTAGCCTAATCCATCACCTAAAATATGCATACCCAACCCATGACCCGCTTTTTAAAATGCGCTAACTTCACCTCTCAACTTCTCCTCTTCCATCCCTGCCTTTCCGCTCTACATTTAATCTAATCATCCTCCTCCATGACCAAAGTACAATAACTCATCATTGCCGATAGAGGACCACCGTTGGTTTTAATTTTCAGATCTTCACCCTTCAACACCTACGGATCTTCCTCTCCCACTCTGATTTTTCGACCTTAATTTATTTTTTAAATTAATATTTTTTTGTTAAATCAATTTTTTGAGTGAAATCGGAAACTTTTTAGAATTAGGTTAAAGGTTCATTTTAAGATTTTATGGTTTAATAAATTATCTTTCTGCCAAAGTTATATTTAATGTGCCACCATACAGCTTTTTAGAGTTAATTGAAATCATGTGAGCAAATTAGCTTCACGGTTCGTCGGTGATGATTTGGTTGGAAAAATGTCGGCGGTGATTAAGTTGGGGAAGATGAACAAGGAAAGGGATATGGTACCAAATAATAAATTAATACAAAAAAAATATAAAATTTTGACAAATGAAACCTAAATAACGATTAGATCATGAATCAGGTATGGAATCGGGTGTTTGAGGGGGCTAAAATGGGTTTAACATATTGGAATGACTAAGATGGATCGTGGGTGTGTTATTTACGGATAAGATCTAGGTTAGAGTGAGATTTTTAACTTTGACCAATAAGCAATTTTCACGTCATATATAATAAAATATTTTTTTATTTAGCAAAGGTCCGTCAGAAATAAGGACATGAATGGACAAGATTTTTAACAGTGAGGGCAGTTTTTACAAAATAGGTGGACGAAGGGTATTTTTAAACTTAAGCGAATAGGTTAAGGGCAGTTTTGGCCCTTTTCCGAATCAGGAATTATGTAGTACTATTGTTTTGGCCATAACTAAAAACTAAAATACCAATGCCATATATTTACCCTTAAATCGGATAACACTTAAATTTGTATGCGATTTTAAAGATACGTAGATTGATTCTACAAAAATAATCAATAATATTAGATAAACGTGTTAAAGACAAAAATGAATTATCAAACTAGTTATGATGTTATGGCCTAACCCGAACCTAGGTTGAACAGTAATTTTGCCCTCGATTAGTCACTTGGCTTGAGCCCGATTATGAACAAAGGACATAACAATTGAATAAGAACTTTTGCAGTAATTAGAAAGCGAGAATAAATTTGTATTGCTTTGATTCGTGTATTACCATGTGTGTTATAAAAGAAAAACTTTCCTTTTATATAGTAGGAGTGTTTCATTAAGTCTAAAAAAGTAAAAATCTTCCTTTCTCATTAATTATTGATCTGTAACCATCATCGAGCGAGACCTGCGATGTGCTATCCGGTTAGGTACAGATATCACGACCCTTTATCCGTCGTGGGCAACCGTTTGCCATATTTCCCGAGGTCTTAGAGCTCGTTCTGGGTCCGAAAAGCGTTGCTTTATCACGCCTGATGATGAACACATCGTTCACCTTTCATGGATCTCGATACGAAGGTCTCCCAGCCTCGATTTCAACCTCGTGCGTACGTGTCCTTCTTCCGTCTTCTTCACCGGGAAATTGGGGTATACATTATCCCCAATTTTACCCGTATACATATAGTCTCCTCGTTTTCCGGAGAGTATGTTTGCCGAAATAATAGGAAACAATAGATGAACCCTGGTTCCTTTCTTCATGCGTTACAACTGAGATGACGGGTAAACTGAAACGTCCCATCAGCCGCGTCGTTCTGACTTCGGACACGTGTCATTCACCGGCTGGTTGCCATCACACATTGATTATCTTTCCCCTATAAAAGCTTTAACCTTTTTCACTTCTTTCACTTTTCGACTCTAGATTTATCCCCGAACTTTCAGACGGTTTTCAACTTCTCCAAGTCTTCATACCTTGTTTTTTGAGCCTTCATATCTTCATCTTCATCCTTATACATTTTCTTCGAACCTTCAACCCAGACCTTCATACCATCTTCAAATCTTCATATTTTTATTGAAACCTTCATACTCTTCTTCAAACCTTCATATTTCATAAATTGCAATGGAAAAAACTTCCAAGTCAGTGTCTCAGTAGGCAGCTCCTTCATCTTCCCACCCAACCGCAGATGATGAGGTGGCCGTTACCGAAATGGCTCAGGAGCCTTCCATGAAGAGCTTCATACCCGGGGGCTGCTCTATCGGGGACGATTTCAAGGTCGAGAAGGCCTCTAGCCAACAAGACTAAAGCGGGGGAGCATAGAGATACATATGCATTTTCACTGAAGATAACCTACCCGTAGTCCGAGCGGACTGTAAATAGGAGGGTAAGGACGTGGTTTTTCCGGGGGCCAATGATGATATCATTACTCAAGTGAAGAGGTATCTGGGTATTTACACTTACCCTTTCACGCTCTCCCGGTGGCCCCCATAGTCCTTACTTTCTACAAAAGGTACGAGGTGTGCCTTGGGAAAATCCACCTGTCCTTTTGGAGGATCGTGATCCTATTATGCCATTTCGTGAACAACACCGAAGCCCCTCGGCTCACCTTCGACCATATACTCCGCCTATACATTCCCCGAATCTTCAGAGGGATTGATTAAGCTCATTCACTGAGGACCGAGACCGAGGTTGGCAGCAGAGGTTCATTTGGGTGAAAACCGAAGACCTGATCCCTCCTAAGTTCCTGTCGTTCCCCAAGGAGTGGAACGTATCCTGTATGTATTGTCTTTCCTGAGTATTCCTTTTTTTATTCTTTCTCTCATTGCCTATGCTTATGGTCGTGCAGTGGTTGCCCAAGTTCCTGATGCAATACTATGATTCAAGGAGTGGATCGAGGGGATCTACAAGCAGATGTTGTACTTCGAGTGCGCATGACGCGAGATTTCGAAGGGCAAATGGGAGGGCCGTTCTCATAGTGAGGTTCTTTCTTGAATAATTATTACCATGCTCTTAACTTACATATTGGTAACCTTTTCTCTTTTCTTAGAGGTTTGCTTAAGATCACCGAATTTAGGACGTTGGATGAGGACGAGAATCTGTCTTCGCTTGCCGAGCCCTCCATTTCGAGGCAGCCTAGGGCTGCCACGAAGGAGGAAAAGAAGAAGAAGAAGAAGAAGAAGAAGAAGAGAAAGTCCTCGGATTCCCCAGACGCCGAGGCAAAGAACAAGAAAAAGGTAGCCATCCGGATCCGGAGGCCCAAGAAGAGCACCAAGTCCAGGGTACCAGACCCCGATGCTCTCTACAGTCTCAAGGACGAGCCAGAAGATGATGACATTTTTGTCGCTCATGGGTCGACACTTAATGAGGGGGAGCAGGCGACGACCGAGAAAAAGGATTATGAGGTCGATCCCTCTCTAACTCGGGAATCAGAGGGAGAGACGGAGGTTGTGGCTTCCCAAGAAGCCACCCCTGCTCCGAATAAGGCAACTGGTGTTATTGACCTTCTATACCGAGTCTATGCTCAAAGAGGC